AATATCAATTTATCAGTATTTTGAAATCTCGTGATTATCTGATGTAAAATATTGTCTAGTATTTCATAATATAATAATTTATAATTTAATTCAGGATTAGACATATTTCTTGTTGCCTTAGGGCGTTTTGTTAACGCTATCGCATTGTTAAATACTTTTAAAAACTCAGATTCATTTCTTTTATTACTAACGAGATCATAGACTWTATTTATTTGTCGCATACAATATTCCATATCAAATGACTTATTTTGAAGTGTATTAAAYAAATTATCTGTGAGTAAAAATATACTGTTAAATGTTAGAGCTAAAAAAGAGAAGTCAAATTTTTTTAAATTGTTTAAATGCCCAATTGAACCACAAATCKATTCAGATGATGCATTTGAATCTTTTATAATATGTTCAAAAACCTTTTTAAATTCGCCCCACTTGTCTACAACTAAGTTCAAAATTTTTGAGCGAGAARCCCATCTCGTCTGAACAAACTGCGGTATGCGTTTACCAACAATAGCATCTACAACATTCGTTCGCGAGGTAGAATTATGAAAAAAAGCTGAAATTCCAGTCATGTTTGCAAAAAAAATTCGACACTGTGTGTTAGCACTGCAGCCATGCTGTAACACTAGGTTCAAACGATGCGCTAAGCAGTGTGTAAATAATGCATTAGGAGCAACCTCTCTAACTTTAGCTTGTAAACCATTTACATGACCAGCCATAACACTTACGCCATCATAACACTGACCAAACTTTTTTTCCATATCAAATTCTAATAGTACAGAATTTAACGTATTRAAGAGACCCTCGGCAGTACGATCCTCACTAACATTATAGAAACCGAGAAACCTTTCTACCAATTCAGATTTACTTGTTATATATCTTAGTATAGTTGAACATTGTGTTCTTTGCGAAATATCCATCGTATCATCAACTTGGACAGAATAAAACATACACTYTTTGATTTCAGTTTTTACCATATTGTTTATGTGATCGGAAACACATGTTATCAAGTCATTTTGTATTGTATTTGACAATCCTGAAAATATATTTTTTATTGCCTTATAATGGTTTTGAATCTCCAATGAACACCTAATAATATGCATATCAAAAAGTTCTTTAAAATTTCCTTTATTCAAGGAACTTRAACTTTCGTTATGACCTCGAAAAGCCAGTTCCTGTCTACCCAAAAATAACACAATATCAATTAGATGTTCCATAAAAAGTCGGTTAA